GTGGAAAAACATGAGTTGCTGCAAATATTTAATCCTCTCACTTCTATTCATCTGAATGGGACTACCTTCTACTGCTATAGGTTTTGATAGAAGAGCAGTCCCACCAATTAGGTAAAAAGCAAGCACAAAAAGATGAAACACCTGATTAATTTTCGATGCAAGCTCAAATTTAATGGAGAAACTGAAGTACTATATTTCAGCATCTTTTGAAAAGGCAGAAAAAATAACTACTTGGAATATAATGGAGTAATTTAATTCGAATACTAATTAGTATACATTTTTACTACCAATGTGATCCTCTGAATGCAATTGTTAATTCTAATCGTAGTTAATATTTATTTCAACTTAACTCTTTTTGTGAGGGAATAATTGCACAAAATGACACTTCAGTAAAAATAAAATTGAACAGTAAAAAAGCCAAAGTGCAAGAGGAAGGTAGACGTAAGAGAAAGACTGCTAGGTTCCTGGGTGTAGTCATTCAAATTATCAGATGTGCAAATGCTGCAGTTACTCCAGTTCCCATTTCTGATTTGCTTCATCTACCAAAGGGAGACTGTTGTTAATGTGTTCTTTTTGCTGCTAGAAATTATTATTCCAATAATTTTAGCATATGTAAAAAAGCAACTATTCTACATTCTCATACAAATAAGCTTCTGCAACAAGGGAGTGCGCTCATCTTTAACATAACCAGAAATAAATTAAAATGTTCTTTGAAAAATTCTAGTGTTATTAAGAAAGGTCTCATTTTTGAGCTTTAAATAACAAACTGCTTTCCTTTTGTTTTTGACAACGCAACACAGTGAGCTTAATAAGACACTGTTGCCTCAGCCTAGTTGGTAAGCAGGAACTTTAGCTCATTATTTCACTTCTAGCAGTATTTGATATTCTCAGTTTTAATATTACAAGACACTTTACCATATACCATAAGCCAGTAAAGAATCAGATGGGACACCAGGAATCTTTTGAACCTGAAAACAACTTCCAAAGCCAAACCTAACTCTCAGTCCCTAATTATGGGACTGCTTACTTAATTTTTTTAAACATACCAGTCAAAACTGCTTTAAAAAAATCCTTAAGACTGTGCTGAAAATCACACCTTCATGTAAAGAAATATAGACAGGATGTGCAATTTTAATGAGGTATGGGGGCAACATATAAAACATTAAAAAAAGTTACAAAGTCAAATAAAAAAAAACCACTGCATTTTCTAAAGACAGAAACAGGTGATTGATGCTCTACAGCTTATCACAGAGGCTACTAGGTGCTGTATGCTGAATGGCACGTTGAGAAATGATTCAGCTGGCCAACATGCAATGCATTCATTACATCTGTTCACAGGGGTCCAAACCCACTTCCATTACCAACACAAAGAACTGTGAATTTTCAGCTTCTACTAATGCCATTAAACTTGTAAGCTGCACCTCTGAAACTGCACCTGGGGTTCTCATATCCTCCCACTCTGATATTAAAAATATTCTATGCATCAGCTGTTATTATGCATTTAAAGATGACACAAAGAGGAGCTTTCTCCACAGGCTTATGCTGACACCAACGCCCTTAGTCACTTTAACACTACTGTAGTATGAGGATTTTTGTCCAGACAACCGTAATCACTGAGAAAACCAGAACTTCAATGGCTGAGACCATTTAAGCTGTGTGCATGCTAGCAAGTTTTCTTCAAATGCTTCAAGAAAGGCATTTAAGAAAGAGTAAGAGTGTGAAAAGAATCACCTTTTCACGCTGTTATTCCCAATCATATCTTCAGTGGAGTTACAAAAAGCTGTCTTTGAACCGATATTAAACTTTTGACAGTCTGCAGCTGTGTTCAGAACTGACTTTTGTTAGCCTGTTTCCACAGTCAGTCCCTGTTTCTGGAGGCTACAACTTGTCAGTAAAACTCCAGTCTTAAATAAAGCACAGAGAGGGATTCTTAGGGCTGGAAACAAAGAAAAACTGAAATCTTCTGGGATCGCTCTTTTTAACTTTCTGCTCCAGTTTGCTGGTTTTGGCGCAGAATTGGTATGTGCCCATTAGCCAATGTCAGTTTAGTGAAATTGAAGTTATTACAAATATTGAAAATATTCTAAATAGTTTTCAATATAATAGTCAAAATACCAGAAATTTAAGTAAAAGCAAACAAGCAGTCTGCCCAAGGAAGCCAAACCGACTTAATATGCCTCTCCAGCAGGGTGACAAAACCTGTAGCTAATGGGAACATGGTACCCGTGACACAGCTCGTCTTCACTGACACTGCCCTTCTACATGGCCCACCCTGACACTACCATAAACAAAATCACCTATCCCACTTCATCTGATCGACTTCACGGACACAAACCGAAGTGTCTAAATTAGGAGAAAGGCTGCGCTGTGTTCCTTCTTTTCAGTCAAGGGAAAGGCAACTTCAAAGAATAACTTGAATGGCCTGCTGTCTTTCCCTTAATTATTGACTATGAAATTAGCCTTAGGCAACTGCTCTCTAGGTTAAGCCTCTAAAGTTAGGAAAGATGAACCTGGGCCACAGAGTAGATAAAGCTACTGCAATATGGGTGCAAAAATGATTGGAAACCATTCCCAGAGGAGTTAGCAAGCGTTGACAGGATATACTAAATACCATTCTTCAGGTCTCTGCCAGATCTCAGACTCCCTCATTCATAGAATTTTCATTGCTGACCTGACTGTGTTTGAAAGCATGCTTATTAAATTTGCAAATGACAGAGAGCCAGGAAAGACTGCAGGTATATTGAGAGACAGGACCAGTATTCAATCTTGCCCAACTGAAAAAAACGGGTTGAGGAAATCACAATGCACTCAGGTGAAGGCAAGTGCAAATTATCCCACTCAGGAAGGACTAACACACTGAGGGTACGGCTAAAAGTTCTGCAGAAAATGATCTGGGCGTGCAGGGGATGGCAAACCAAACAGGAGTCAAGGATGCCGTATTGCCACAAAAATTCAAGCAAGCCCAACGCAGACCCAGGGCAAGGCAGAGGGAAGGGACACACCAAATAGGGACAGGAGGACGCTTCAACTGGGCTGCCAGATGTCTGGAAGTCCTATGGAAATATATAGTGTTCACTCAGACAGTAACTCTGGGCGGAAAAAAAGGATGTATCTGGATATGTGCCAGAGAAACGGCACACGCCAAAAACAATGGGTAAAAATGCAGTTACTGAGGACATAACAAATGAAAAGACATTTTCCTGTCTATAGAAATAAACCCTGCCTTTTATACCATGTAACTTCTTCAGGTAAGAAAAGCTAAAAACTCTCTTGTGCTTGGCTTGATCATGTACCCGAACAAATAAGTATTTCCTGTGTTCTTAGGGTGTTTTCGAAGTACAAGCATGTTATGCCTTTGAGGATCCTTATTTTCCGTTTTGTGTAAGAACGTGGGAAAAGCATCCTCTTCTGTTCAGACTGTTCAGTTCTGCCAGTGTTAGCTGGCTGTGCCCCAGTGGCACTCCATGCCGTGCGGTTAGCCCAGCAGAACGTCTTGCTGGTGTACCTGTGTGATTTCATCCTCTTTTCACAGTAACCAGGAAACTAAACTAACTCTGATTTTGCGATCTTCCATCTCTCTGGTTTCACGTGAGTGCTCCTCTTTGTGATAAATCCAGTCATCAGCAACGCTTCTTCCTTGCTGGACAGCATCCTGAAAATGAGAACGATGCGTAAAAGACATAAACCGTAAATGTGAAAAGAATCATTGAAACTTTATTAACGCTCCCTAAATTAGATGGGTAATGGGATGGGTTAGATGGGAGCCATTTAGGATGGCTCCCTAAATTCTGATGGGTAGTCTCTATTAAAGGCTGTTTCTGCCACAATAAAGCAGCCACAATACACAGGGCTTACGCAGGTGAACTATGGCACCTCATGATGTCATATGATGCATTTAAGGAGTGCAGCACTGTGGTGCTCAAAGAACTCCATGGTTCACAAGGAAAACAACTTAATTCAAACAAAATGGTGTGAATGAACACTTTGGTGTTGCTATGCCTCTATAACAAAAATAAATAAAAACCTCCTTCCTGTGCTACAAGCTCTTAACTTGCAGCAAGACAAGACAGCAGACAGAATAGGCAGGATATAAGGTATAGAACATGTATTCTTTTTGTAACAAATGTATTTAGGCTGAAAACATGTGACTTACGCCGTAATTCTAAGGCTTTGTCTATCATCCTGAGGTGGGATTCTTCCTCATAAACTTGTACAAGAAATCATCACCTGGCTAATATTAATAATTTCTGTATTAAAAATAGTAATTTGTGTCCTGAGAGGAGAACGCTTACGGAATCAGTCACTGCCTAGAAAAATCGATACGTACTTCACAAGGAGGTATTTCAGATTCCTTAAAGGTGTTTCGGTAACATTAATTAGAGATCAAAGATAATTTGGTTATTAGCGAGGGAAAATGCTGATTATGTTATTTAAGGATATACTAGCTCAGACTGACTGCTATATGACCTTAAAGAACTAGTTTCAGCTAGTCAGATGGGAAGTACGTAGAGCTGATAGGAACCGTAGAACACATTATCAATAATCTTTATTTATAGTTTGACTTTGTAGGATTGAAATATATACTATGTATATGCAGTGAAAGCAAGATTATGCTTTTTTTTTTCTGTACAAAACATGGTATGTTGTTCATAAATTCAATTTTAGACTGACTAGGGTAAAAATCCTCCTACCTGAGTACAGAAAACTGATTTGTTATTAGTAAGAAAGAACCAAATGTGATTTTGAAAACTGAATAGGGGAGGGAAATCTTGACTCCAGTGAAGCTGGTGGAGTTCTATCAGTAACTTAAATGCACCGTTGATTTAATGTAAGCAGGCCAAATATGAGTAAACTGTCAAAGAATGCAGAAGAAAACCTGACATACCTTAATTACTGGGGGAAAAAAAAGGCTGAGTATGTTATTTTACTGTGAATTATTAAGTGCTTATTATATATTTTGAATTATTGCATGCATATATTATAAAATCATACTGTGAATGCTTGTAACATTTTTATTTCACGAAATGGGAGAAAAACAGCTGAAGAACGCTTTTAAGACGAGGCAGTTGATCCAGTGTCCTCTCTCATGTGTCCATACGTCCTTGTGGCCCGCCATGAGACAACGTGGGATTGCCGTTCTGCAAAAGAACAAGGTGCATTTGTTAACTTCGTAGCTCAGAGTGAAATGGCCATCAGTCCACATCTATAAAACCTCGTTTCTACAATTAGTTCAAACAGATGAAAATCCTCCATACAAACCACCTATTCTTTCCAAATGGGTTCCTCCAAAGCCATGTCATTGCCTATAAATAACCATTATCATGTGAAATCTAAACCTTTCTGCCAGTAAGCAAGCACTTAGAAGAACAATGTATTATGCAAAATTAAATGACTCATTTTGCAAAATCTGATTTTTAAGTGGGTACAGGCACTTCATATATTATTCAAAGAACAGAAACGTTCCCTTACCTATCACGCTATATTTAGGATTTTTTTATGATGGAGAAATAAAAGAGATGAAAGGATGGAAAAAAGCAGCTGCGGGGAGAGACAAAGGGAGGCTTAGTCCTAAAAAACGAACCAAAGTTTAGTCCTAACTGTCCCAGCTAATGTGATGCACATTAGCCATGGACCAGATCACCTCATGAATTATTCTACTTCTTCCTTAGAGTCCAATTCCCGGAACTGCGTGGCTTTGCCAGGAATTTCATTTTTCACCCTAACAAAAATTACATGGTTTTACCTCTTCGTCTTGCAAAACACCACCCCTCCGCACTCTAAAAAATGAACCGCAAGAATTCAAATGCAAATACAAACTCCTCCCTGTATCGCTTCTGATAGATAACGCATTTTAAACAAAACCGTCTTTCCGCGTTGCAGTTTCGAGCAGCCGCGCAAGCCGGGCGTTCAAGGCCGGGCCGT